CAAATTGCTCGTTCAAACCAAATTAATTTCAGAAATTGACAGAGGATAGAAAGAATCTGCTAAGAATCCCACAAAGGACTTCTTGTATACATATATAGTAAAGGATGGAACAAGTAGTAGAGAAAGGAGGGGAAACCTAATCAGAAAGAAAAGATTTGGATAGTTCTACGGTTGTGCTATGGAGAAGGTTTTTCTTTGTGCCTAAATCTGCTCAACTGTGGATGCAGTAAATACCTTTTGAAACCTAAATGGACTAGGATTCTTTTTTATTTACAATTTTGAAATTGAAAAATAAGGTTTAGGAATTAAAATTATATCTTGGGTAGTAAATAGCTTTTTTTATCTATTCATTTATTTTTGAAGAAACTTACTGCTTACTAATTTAGACTACAGGCTTTGTCACTATATATATATAAAAAAAAACTAAAATCAAATCATATTATTGAGTTATACGTTTGAGTTATAAGATAAAAATTAAAAGAAAATATTATTAAGTTCTTCAAAATGATTATTCTGATATTATTTAGCTCGAGTGGTCAAAGAAGAATATCGTCATATAGAAATCCTCAAACATATCACGTAAACATTGATAGGATAACTTATATAATAAAATATTGATGAAAAACGTAAAATTAAAAACACATACATTTAACTTCAATTTTGATCAACACACGACTTTTTCCTTCATGGCTCACAAGTATCTCATAATCAATTCAACTAGCGACAGATATGATCTGCCCTAATTTTTACTAAAATTTTAAGTGGACATAGTAAAATTTATTAAATCAACATAGAAGCCAATTTACCAACTGTCCCCAAAAGAGGAAGAGCATACACTAAAGAATAGGGGTGTACAAGCCAAATCGTAAAGTCAAACCGAACCGACGAACCAAATCAAATCGAAAAAAAAAACCAATTTGTGGTTTGGTTTGGTGGTTGAAAAAAAAAATCGATCACTATTGGTTTAGTTTGGTATTAAAAGAAAAAAAGTCAAATCGAACCCAAATCAAACCAACATAAAATCTCTCTCTCTCTCTCTCTATATATATATATATATATATATATATAAAATATTATTTATAATCTACTTTGTTAATATATTTTTAGTTAGCTTATAGTTTTCAATGTTTATATATTTTATTTCAAATTCGGGCTTGGAAAATTTTGCAAATATCATATATATATATATATATATATATATATATATATATATATATAAATATATTATTTTATTTTATTTATAGATAAAAATATTATTTATAATCTACTTTGTTAATATATTTTTAGTTAATTTCTAGTTTTCAATGTTTATATATTTTATTTCAAATTTGGGCTTGTAAAATTTGTAAATATTTTATTTTGTATTAAGATCTGAAGTTGCAATTATATTGTTATAGCTTTTTCAAATTCAAAGTTAACAATTTAATTTGTAAATATTTTGTTTTGTATTTAGTTTGTATGTAGCCTTTAATCTTATTAATTTAACATAATGAGCGTTGATACTTTTTAAAAAAAAATTGTACTCATGTGAATTTTACCGTCTTTTCAAAAATTTCTATTCATTTAACATTTTTTAAGTTTATCTTATCACACATGTAAGTGAAAATATATTTGATCTCTTTTTCAAACACTGTATAGTTGGAAAAAACAGAAGAAACCGAAAAAAACAGTAAGAACCGACTAAAGCCGAAACCGAAAAAATCGACTTTATGTGGTTTGATTTGGTTTTTAAATTTAATAAACCGATATAATTGATTTAGGTTCTTTTTAATGAAAATTCAAACCAAACCGACCTATGTACACCCCTACTAAAGAGCATGTTGGTTTTAGATGAACTAGAGCGTCCATTGTAAATGCCATCTAATGAGTATATAGCTTGCCGGTGTTTCACTTACTTCACCTGCATGCAAAGGCAGACCTACATTGATCTGTGAGGTGCACCCAGGTAACTTTTCGAAACAAATTATATATATTTATAGATACCTTAAGTAAGGATTATATAAAATTGTGCACTTCATTAACCAAAACTCCACGTAGTTGAGCTGGTTGGTGTTGCTATTATTACCCACCACGTCGTTGGTTCGAGTCCAACTTAGGAACTATATTTTTTTTTTCTATTTTTGTCTTCAATAACCAAAATGGAGGCCAGCATAGGCACTATTTTTTTCTCTATTTTTGCCTTCAATAACCAAAATCGAGTCCAGCATAGGCACTGTTTTTTTTTTCTTCTATTTTTGCTTCAATAACCAAAAAAATTAAAAGATAGTGGTGCACCCCCAATCTGCAAATCTTGGGTTCGCCTCTGCCTGCGTGTATTGCTTTTATCCAGTCCGATGAGGATCATTTTGTTGCCCCTTGCTGCTATAGTCCCCTAGCTCTTGCTTTGCTGATAGAGAAATATGTCCACCTTCCTTTGACCAGAATAATCAATGTTGAGATGAGCATTAATAGAGGCAAATGAATGTTTTTGCTTTTATGAAAAAACAAACCCAGAGTAGCCATGTCTAACATAATAGTCTTATTGAGGTGCCTTTGAGTTACCAGTTTCCTGTAATAGGCTCATGACAGTTCCCATTGAAAGCTCTAAAAGAAGTTGCTTTGGAACTCAAACTGTACCCAAAACCGCTGTCTGCAATACAGGAAAGCCTAAGATCTCAAATGCCAAATGCAGGGTGGTCTAACACCAAAGTCACTCGCATTTGTACTTCCAACTACTTACTAAATGTGACGGAAGAATGCTTAGGTAACACATACAACAAAAGATGATAGGGAGTAATCAGCTGCTCAGGTAATAATAATACCCTTGCTTCTGATCTCCAGGAGACAATTCAATACTTCTTCTGTGATGATCTCACTAGGAATTAAAACCGGAATACCAGGTGGATAAGGACATACAAGCTCTCCACAAATTTCACCGAGGCTATCTCTTATGAATATGTCATATGAAGCAGAAGTAGATGGTTACTCTTTTAAAGAACTTCCATTACAAGTCCGACGAAATCTCAATTTAGATAAAATGCAATGGTCATCGTTTCGTGCATGAATGTTATAATGTTCATACATTTCAAAAGGATTGACATGATGTGATGCATTTCACAGTATCATGACAAAGTTACTGTTTTGGTGCAATATAATGGCCAGCTGGGTGTTATTTCTGGAGGATAGAGTTGCACGCATTATGTGATATTTTACACTGGATTTTCACAGCTGCTATCTCAAAACTGAGAGTGCAATGAAGCACTGATTTTAACACAAGCTTTTTGATTGTGTTGATGTGCAAACAACTCTTTTCCTGCGTCAATAATATATACATAGCTCCTGTCCCTGTTTTTTTGTCTCTGTTTGGTTCGACAAGCTGCTCAAGGTGTGTGGAGCAAGGAAGAGATTGTGTTTGCGAGATCAAGCATAAGAGGACAAAATACAAACTTGCAAAAATAATTAATTATAGTATCAATTTAATTTGATCTAGTAAAGTGCTCTAACTTGACATTACATTCTAAATATGTAGCTCATGCTTGCCCACACTACTCTCACACCTAAATCGCACTCCTTGATCCCAAGCAAGTTGGGCAATGGGCACAAGATATTGACTTTGAATAAGTTCTCCTACTACTAAATAAACCTTATAACTATAACTATGTAAGCATTAAAAATGAGGAAAAAAAAAATATTGAACATGGTAGAACAAGCTTTCTAATAATAGCTACACTGAAATCCAGCAAAATAGCAGTGCCTGTACTCGGCAGAGTTGCGAGTTATAGATAATCCCGATCTCTGTACCCAAAATAACAGCAGCAACAATGTTTTCACTTGTCAGGTAGAAAGATCAAGCGCATAGGCTGTTGTCATATTTCTAGCCTGCTGCTATGTTTCTATTCAGACATGGTTCATGAGCCGCATTTTGGTATTTTCTAGTAAGAACAGAGAAATAATAATTTAGTTGTTCTATGTAAGAATCTTGCCATATCAGAAACAAACTTTCTGGACCTATTTGTAACTGGACCTTAGGTTATTAGAATATATCAACTTAAGTTTAAATTTAAATCATATGCATAAATAATCCACTGAACAATCTCTATGTAAAACATAAAAAGATTTACCATTAGAATACCCATAATAGCAAAAGTCACAAATTTAAGTACTGAACGTCAAACTAAAGCATAGTAAACACAACTCTAGACAACCATTACAAATTCAAAGACATGAAAAGCACTAAAAGTAGTCCACAAAGAAAAACATTAAGCATTTGATTGGTGATTTGCATTGTTATCAGCTGATGAGCCTCTTACATCCATATGTGAAACAATTTCAGTCCCTGAAAAAAAAATGGTATTCAATACAACTCACTCTAGTAGAGTTTCTGCAAAGATCCTATCCTGAGCCTTTAGAAATGCACAATTTTACAAGGTTGATTGGTGAGTACGTAACTACCAAAGCAGAAAACTATTTTGTACAAATAATAAGACTACTGGCCTTACTAAGAAAGAGACACGACGAATCATTATTGTATCACGCCACATATTCCAGACATCATGTAGTTCTAGTACTAAAAATCTTTCCGTAGGCTTTCAATCATGTTCTTGTTCCACTCTCATGTTAGAAACTATGTTATATAAAGTATGGCTTTGTGCAGAGGTTAAAATAAAAAAAACATTCACATGTTTGAACCGACTATTCCACAGTCAATCAAGAAAAACAGAGAGAATCTGAGCTATCAGGAGACTAAACAACTATAGCCACCTCAGTACAATCAAGAACTAAGTTCATACTTTGATCTGATCAATCAAAACCTGGGCATGGACTTTTATTTACGTTAAGGCAACTAGGCAGAAATCACATAGAAGTACAATATTACTAAACTGATCAGAACTGATTGTAATAGAAGAAGTACAAAGAATATTTACTTCTTACCGGTGGTTGAGGAGCAAACATAGTAGCTAATTCTTCAGGAATCCCTCCTTCCTTAGATATCATGTAATTCTTCAGCACACTGAAGGTTTCTTCAAGTTTGGACTCCAAACGCGCAACCTTTTGATGCAAATATGTAGAAGTTGCAGATGATTCATCATAGCTAGATGAAGAAATGCTCAGCTCGCTAAGTCGTCGCTTTGTATTCAAGAATGTGTTTGATGGAGCTGCTCCCATACCCATACATCTTACCCTCCCAGAGTGTTCTGCCCCTAATATCTTACCAACAATATCTTCTGGGGAAACTTCAGACTCATTAGTGTTACAATGAGTCATATGTGACTCAATTTGTTCCTACGATCATATCAATATCAATAGTAAGTATAAAATAGTAATAGATGAAGAATACTATACAATAACAATGAAATTGATATTCAAAAAATGCATCGATGCCATACTTACCCCTATAGTTTGAGCCTCAGCATTCACAAATGATCCGTTCTTTCTCTTATGAGTTTCAATAAACATTTTTCCTCGACTAGGAGCTTTACCAGTTTCCAGAAACTAAGAAAGAAATGTATTATAAATGTTATCCAAAAACAGTTTAGTTAAAGACAAATCAGAACTATTAAGTTAAATGCACATACCATCTCATAACGTCTTCTCGAGTTAGCCTTTGAACCACCAGTGTGTGGCATTTTTTGCTTCCTCTGGATTTCCTTATTTCTTCTACAAAGCTCCTATCAACAATAACAGCGGCAACTCAAAATGTTCATCTTTATATAATTATGATGAAACAAAACTTATTAACATAATCAGAATCTTACCATTGTTGATGGTTTCAGACGGTAAGCAACAAAACTAGCCCATTGATCTTTATTTATACCAGATGGCACATTACTAATGATCTCATTTTTGCTTCTTGCAGGGTCAAAATATTCATTCCACAATCTCTGCCTATGTGTAGCCCACTTTTTTGAAATGCTACTATTGCAATATCTGTATGCAATGGACTCACATACCCGAAAAAGAAATCGAGGCTTTAAATAAAAAATAGAAGTTAGCTTTCTCATGTATTCAAAAATCTTTCGAAAAATTGTGTGCATATATATATATGCAAGAACACTTGTACCTTCAATATTGTTTCAAAGCAGTCTTCCATGTACTTCTTAGGCATGCCTGATTGCCCTGACCACCTCTCAAAACTAATCGGGAACAAATTACAATCAATTGCCAATGATCCACAATATCCAGCGAGCAATCCCTGTGCATCACCATATGCTGAATTGTATGCGTCAAAGTCCACAATGATGCGCTCTCCAACAGTTAGATTATTAACCTCATTAACCTTGACATTAATCTGCTTGATAGCGTTTTCTGAATCTTTAACAAAAAAATCAGTTACTTAACCAAAAAAGAAAAAAAAAGGTACTCATAAGTTGAACTAAAAATGACATAAGAAATATATACCTTTAGCCTCTACTCTCCAATAACGTGCAGATGGACGTGGGTGCAGAGATGTTGCACTTGAATTAGAAGGTAGAATTGGAGCTTGTTCTTGCTGCAGGGCAATTGGAGGTTGTTCGTGCTGCGGCAGAATTGGAGTTTGTTCTTGTTGTGGGACTCCATCAGCTTGTGAGGGATTTGTTGAAGCAACTGGGAGGTCTTGTGCCACTGGAGTAGTTGATGATGAAGCATGTCCATTAGCTGACTTTAGTGGATTCTTAAAACGTTTAATCTTTGGCATGACTGCATATTCATAAAGAACAGAGAGGTGAATCAAATATGAACAAGTTCTGAGATGACATGGTAATATCATGTAATTGACAAAGGGAATCTGTTTAATACCACTCGAATACGCAGAAAATAAAAAAATTACGCGATGTCACAATATCAATAAAGCTTGGCAGTAAAAACAAATCCTAATATAAAGCAAAAAACGTGTGCCCAACAATATGGATGAAAGCAAAATGTAAACTTAGAAGAAATTTAGTTGAAGTAAAATAAAACTGACCTGATGCTACCATCTGATTCCATCTCTCCAAAATGGATTATAGGGAAATTTATAGCTCTCGGAAGGGAAGTTTTGTCACCAAGAAAAGTGGAGGACAGGGGAAAGTGGGAAGATTGAGGGGAAGGTGGGAAGATGGAGGGAAAGCTTCAGAAAATGGTGTTGGTGGAAATATGGAGGGAATAAATGAGTTACTAGGTTAAAAGCGAGGGAAACAAAAACCCTACGTAAATTTTGTTTAAACTTTTCCCTCTCTTTAATTTCTATCTTCACTATTATTTAAATAGGAGCACATTTAAAAATAGTCATGTAGTTCCATTTCATTTTTATCAAAATTAAAAAATTTATTTATACTTCACATATCTTAATGTTTATCAAAAAATGATTTTTTTTCTAATATTTTATTAATGTAATGCTTAACTACTCTTTTATTTGAATTATAATTTTACTAGTGAAATTATCCATGCTTCGTGCGACTATATGAATTATTTATATGTAATATTTATATTTAGGTTAGTATTGAATATATAAGATAATATCGATATTTCTCTTCATTTGCGATATCATACATTTTTTTTAAAACATATATATCTATTTTATTTTATTTTTTACATTTTTTTAAAATGCAAACTATTCATATGTATATAGTAGAACAAAATATTCACCGTGGTGGACTAAATGGAATAAGAGGTAATATGTTGAAATTAACAATATATTGTATTACGTTGAAAATATTTTATATGCTTTTTAATTTCCTATATCTTTTGTAGGAGTACTAATTTTCTATACAAACTCTTAGTAAAAAAAAATTAAATATTTTATTATGTGTTCTTTATTATTACATTTGTTTATTATAATTTTTTAAACATTAATTAAATATTTATAAAAATTATGAAAAATGAAACATACAAAAATTATGAATAATATTTAATATTATAAGTTACAAGTAAGATGAAGTGACACGCGTTATAAATAATATTTAATATTATATTTGTACATTATTTTTTAATATTATATTTGTACATTATTTTTTCAATAGTACTAACAATACTACATAATAATCATTTCTTGAAATCTAACAAATATTATTATCAAACTATATTATATTCGGAAAAGTGACTATTAGAAAGAATAATTGCATACTTACAATACGTCATTGTTAAGAATTACAAAGTCATTTTTTAAAAATCATACTTGCTTGATGAATGATAATACAAACATAAAAAAAATATTTAAAAAAAACACGTCTAAGTACATAGAAATAAAAAGAAAGACTTGAGAATGAAATATCTCTTACATTCGTGTACTTCTTTTTTGTTACATGTTAGTTAATTCACAAACAAATATGATAAAGAAGAGAAATAATAATTTTGTATGTGAATCCTCATAAAGTAAATATGAATTTATATAGACAAAATTGAGGAAATGGAAAAATAAGGACTTGAGAATGAAATATTTATTAACTTCATTTATTTTATTTTTTTGTTACATGTTAGTTTCATTCACAAACCAAATAAGATCTTAATCATTCAGATGTGCATTCAGATTCGGACGTCTTAATCTTAATGAATACAAATGAGGCTAAAGTGTTAAAATTATTATGAATGTTTATTGATTTCATAAAAAGTGCAAAATAGGATCTAAAATTGTGACTACATGATTGTTGATTGTTTAGTGTCAAATTTGTTAAAATATTATTTCATACAGTGATCATATTATATAAAATAAACATTCTATGTCGATTTTAAATCACCGTAATACAAATTACATAAGTCATTTATCAATAGCAAAAAAATTATGATTGTTAATTATAAGCCGTTGTTATATGTGAAATAAATCTCCAGGATCGTTCTGTTCATTTGTAGTGCAAAATCCCCCACAAGAATATCGCCACAACAAGAATAATTTTGAGGAGGTTGAAACACATGCTACAAATTGAATTTATAGTGGGGGTCTTTTACAACCTCCACACTTAAACCGCCATAAAAAGAATTATTTTGCGGAGGTGGACACAAACACCACAAATTGAATTTATAGAGGAGGTCTTTTGCAACCTCCACACTTAAACCGCCATAAAATGAATTATTTTACAGAGGTTAGCACAAACGCCACAAATTGAATGTGTAGTAGGGGTTTGTTATGACCCCTATAAATTAACCGCCACAATTTAGCAGTTTTTTTGTAGTGGTACAACTTTTAATAATCATGTGTTTAATGCTAGATGAAAAGTGACATCTCAAAGTACTAATCATGTCCTAGATGGATTTGAACATGCCCCAAAAGTTTTGAAGTCCATATTAGACCTTGAAAAGTTCAGAAAAAGTAGTGTGCAAAATTTTCTGTATTTTACGGAAACCATCTACAAACCATAAAAGGAACCACAAACCGTAGATGGAAACTGTAGACCAAGTTTAGAGAATTTAAGAATTTAGTATGATAATTGCGAATACTGTTTATGGGTCTTAAAAGCTTTTACATATCGTAGACGAGCCTCGTAGATCAAAGTTCAGAAATAGGAAATCTTCCCTGAGTTTTAAGGGAGTGGTATACTGGTAATATAATATTTTATAGATCGTGGTTTGGTTCGTACATTAAAGACATCAAACTAAAAAGTTATCTTGATTATTAAGGATGCATTTTACGGATAGTAGATTAATTATGGAATATAGTGTAATGACTTGATCCGGTCGTTATGAGTAGGCTAATAGTGAAGATTTTGGGCCAAAAAACTTTCTGGGTAGTGGCTTAAATTGTTTTGGGTAGGCTAGCCTTAAATGAAATGTGGGATTAGTGAGGTCTAGGGCCATCCGAGAATAGGTGGGGTGTAATGTTGATGTTTTTTTTCCAGATATACATGTATCCAAGGCATTAAGGAGTCGAAAGGGCCTTTTGAATCAAATTTGGTAGGTAGAACTCCCAGAATTGATCTTGGTGTAGAAGGCATGTGTTGGGACGTCAAGGGAAGAGGTTGTGTTGTAAAAATGTTCTTTTCTTGACTTTAGAGGCTCTGATGTTTCGTCGATCCCACTATAGTAGGGGCATCCCGCTATAGTGATGCTCAGACCGCTATAGCACGACAAAATGGGTTTTAGTGCAAAAACAACCCCTAACCTATTTTCTGCACTTTGTGTTCTTAGACTTGGAAGGAGTGATTTTGGGTTGTTTGCAATCGATTTTCCATGGAAATCATCGGTAAATGTAAGATTATTACTCCTCAACCCTGTAGATTGATTCTTAATCCTTAGAATCTAGGTTATTGAGGATTTTAACATGATTCCATGTTTAAAAAATACCTACGTTGGGAAATTGATCATATATTGGCATTGGGTTAGGATTGGGTTGTATTGTGGTAGTTATTAGGTCATTGTTTGATTGAATGTTGTGTTGTATTTGTTAGTTTCGACACAGAATGTCAAGACCCAACTACCCAAGTCATTATTGTGCTTACTATAACCCACCAATAGGTAAGACAACCCATATCTAGAATGACAGGTAATGAGTACAAGGTTAGAACTAACTAAAAAGTAACACCAACAATAAGAAAAGACAGAAACTGAAGCAAACCAAAAATATATAAAATGGAAACCCTTCTAGATCCTATAAATCGCGAGTACAAAGTTGTCTAATATGAACAAATAGAAGTCCCAAAAGTGGACCACAACAAGCCGTCTCAAAGGTAAAAAACTAGCTAGCATATAAATAGAAAGAGACAGGTTGATCCAGGATGCAAAGTGCTCACCCTTGTCTCCAATATCCATAACCTGCAAAAGATGGCACGAACAATCACCACTGGTAACTGGTACTAGGACATGCATCATGAAAAGATGCAGAGTGTAGCATAAATACCAAAACAAAGGTACTTAGTAGGCATCATAGGCCGCCTGAGTAACAAATGTAAAAACAGTCACAAAAGATAGAATCCAGACACAAACAGAGGTCCAAGCGGATATGAAAGAAAGCACACGA